TCTCTCAGCGAGCAAATATTAGGTTGTCCGGAAAGTTCTCAGCGTTTTGGGTGTTTCACTTTGAACGATCGTAACTTTTTTAATACTTATCGGATTTAATCGAAATAGGCACCATTCGAATCAGCATTTTATGCCAATCGTGAGCAGAGCAGTCGAGAAATCCCATCAAAGTAAAAAACTGGGTGGTCGAAAATTCACGAAATCTGAAGGCTTTTTTGCCTGGTCCTGATTGATGAAGTATTTTCCAGCAAGGGAGTTCTGAAAATGTTTGAAAAGGTGATAGTCGATTGGCGAAAGGTCTGAGGAATATGGCGGTTGAGGTAGAACTTCAACCCTCAATTCCTTCAAGTTTATGGATAGAGATTTGTGAAACGTGTGTGCGGGCGTTGTCATGCAAAGTAATCGGAACCCTTTCTTTTGATAAGTGTTGGCTGCAGCTGACAAAATTTTCGGTACATTTCGTCGATTTCTTCACAGTAGGGTTCTGCTGTGATGGTTTGGCCTGGTGATAAAAGTTATAGTGGATCACACCAGCTGATGAGCCACAAGCCGTGGACCGGACCTTTTTATTTCGTGAGGTTTGTTCGGCACTTATTACCTCGGTGGTTCGTCGAAATCCAACCACTGTCCGGAACGTCTCCTGTTATCATACATGACCCATTTTTCATCACAGGTGACAATTCGGTCCAAAACAGGTCGTTTCTGCTGCGCAAAAGCAATGCAGAAGGAACCTCGAGACGTGCCGATTCCTGGCACGGTCACTCCGATTGTGGGGCACCAAGTTGTCTAGTTTTTTCACCTTCCCAATGCGTTCCAGACCATCTGGAACACTGGATTTACCAACGCCTAGCTTTTCTACAATCTCTCGAACTGTTTGGGATGGGTCAGCCTCCAAAATCCCCCTAAAATCCTCGTCAGATATTGCTTTAGTCGACCGCTATGAGGTTCACCTTCAAGGCTGAAATCTCCAGAACGAAATTTGTTGAGCCATTGCCGCACAGTGCTTTCTCTAGCACTATTGGGCCCCACACCTGGTTAATTTGTTGAGCTGTTTCGATTGCGGATTGCCCAATTTATAGTCGAAGAAAAAAATCGTCCGAAGTGCTAATACTTACTCACTACATGCTTGAAAAAATCTATGAAAAAGGGGGTTATATAGAATGGTGAAACGGCAATTATACCATCAGATAGCGCAAGAAATTCTCTACAGGATGTGCTACTGAGAAGCAAGGCAGAATGAGTTTTAATCAGCAGTGAATGTACAAAAAATAGGTGCACAAAACGCTGAGAACTTTCCGGACAACCTAATATACCTGTTGTTTTTGGAGAATTCCCGCGAATGATGTGCCCGTGGTGAGGGCGCTCCAGCGAAGGATCGTCTAGGGGCAAACTTTTATATTCAAGAGTACGCGAGCGACTGGAGGCCTAATTCTACGGCTTCTTAGGTTTAACGTTGCGCAAACATACACAGTTTGAAAAGTACACCTAGTATCC